TTCCTTCGATGATCTTGGTCAGTGCTTAGCCTTGTTATTGAATAGAACATGATTCCTTAGATCGCTTTGTTCAGGAAAACTTGTAAAGGAGACTTTCTCCGAGTTGGTTGACCAGGGCATCGTGGTAATTCGGCCGGAAGTTCCTCCACCAGCTGTACCAATGGACTATGCTTGGGCTAGAGTGAGTTTATTCCTCCATCAGTATTAATCTTACCGCAGAATAGAGAACATTGTACACACATACATTGAGTTATGTTGATTTTCATAGCCCCTTCCTCTTGATTGTCTCTCATGGCTTCGAGGGCTCTGAAGTTTTTGATTGAGAATTAGGAGAAATCTGAGCTTGCTTTTCTAATTTCTGAAGAATACTTGAATCAAAAAAAAAACTTTGATGCTGCTTAGTTGTGATTAATACTTCCGCTCTCTTGCTTTCTTATTTCATCTAATGCTCGTCACTAACGATTTACTATTATTAGGAACTTGGTTTAATCCGTAAACCAGCGTCGTTTATGACTTCAATTTGCGACGAACGAGGCGAAGAGCTTAACTATGCTGGAGTTCCAATCACAAAAGTGCTAGAACAGGACATAGGAGTTGGCGGTGTGCTCGGCTTGTTGTGGTTCCAGGTGGGTTTTCAGTATTAGTTTTAGTGGACGTCCTTCATAGTTTCTATCTTCGTTAAGTAAACTCTTCCGAAGAAAGAACTTTCCGAGGACTTCCATGACTTCTAAATACATATTCTGCTTTACCAGTTGCATAATTCCAGAAACGACTTCCTGCATACGCCAACAAATTCATTGAAGTTTGCCTGATGTTGACAGCTGATCATGGACCCGCGGTATCTGGTGCGCACAACACGATCGTCTGTGCCAGAGCTGGAAAAGACCTGATATCTTCACTCGTCTCGGGATTGTTGACGATTGTAAGTTTGTTACATTAAATGGATTCCTGTTGATTCGTACAGCTGAAATGGTTTGCATTGAAATTCCAAAAACGTTCGGCTGTCTGACAGCTTGGGCTATAATAACGGCTTGGGATGCAGCATCAGAAACGAAAGGATAAAAAGGATAAAGCGAAAACAGGAAGCACCCTTTGTATTGATCACTTCAATTGCTGGGGATTGCCACGTAAACCTCTGTTCGCGCAAGCAGAAATCACGTGGCACACTGGCTAAATTTCTCGATGAAGAAAGATTGACATCAGTATGCTTGAAAGAGAGAGGGAAGATTTCTTTGGATCGATGCACCTCAATGCATGTCAATTTCTTGATTCGCCACAACTTCTGGGTCTGCTGGGGATGCGCCACGTACTCTACTTTCACTCTGGGTCGTAGTGGCATTTGAATGCGATGTGGCCTATACAATGACTTGCGGGGGCCAGCCGATGTTCAAGTCAGTGTTTTTATCCTCCCAGACAAGTCTGGTACCAATTAACCGACCCCGGAGGGATGGAAGGCTTGGTTGGCCCGGGCGACTCACGACCCAGGATTTGATCCCGATCCGTGGATGTGGTGAGCAGCGCCACTTGCCACTACGCCACTTCCGCCTATCGGAACAAATACAACACATAAAGGCATTATGCGCGTGCATTTTGATAATTTGCGATGAGCACATGAGCGCAAACAGGTAGTTCGTGCCACTGATCAAGTGGTGAGCCGTGGAGTGAGGCGTTCATGGTATCTCAAGTTCCGCTCGTATTCGGCGAGCTGAAGCAGCTGCTTACCTTTCGTGTCTTTCTACCTCGCACTTGCCTTGTTTTCAACTCGACTTAACGAGAGAACATGATCTCCATATCATATGTCTTTTTTTTGTAGGGAGATCGGTTTGGTGGTGCATTGGACGGCGCGGCTCGTCAGTTCTCTGAAGCCGTAGATAAGGGATGGAGTCCAATGCAATTCGTGAACGAGATGCGAAAACAAGGAAAGCACATTATGGGAATTGGTCATCGTGTGAAATCGGTTCGTTGCAACGTGTTGCGCTGTGTTTCTCTTCGAATCCGGCGAGTATTCCATGATAGAATGCATTGGTTCAAAATTCTTGGCTTCAGATTAACAACCCTGACAAGCGAGTAGAAATTTTGAAAAATTTCGCACTGGATCGCCACCAATTCAAACAAGAGACGCCATTGCTCGAGTATGCTCTTGAAGTGGAGAAAATCACCACGGCGAAGGTGAACGAATTTGGTTTCTGTACTCGTTTTCACTTTTTGACACCAGATCGGTATACTTTGTTGCCACGCATCTTTCCACTTTGTTCAGTTTCAATTATGGACTTTTGGTTTTGTTCCGAAAGAAACCGGTTTCTTCGATATGTTATAACTTTCTTATTCAACGCATATGATTTAGAAACCGAATCTAATTCTAAACGTGGACGGCGCGATCGGTGTGATTTTCGTGGACATCCTTCGTCAGTCGGGAATGTTCACTCCTGCCGAGGCTCAAGAAACGATAGAAATCGGAGCTTTGAATGGACTGTTCGTCCTTGGACGTAGTCTTGGATTTATCGGTTAGTGAACGTTGTGAACGCCGTTATTCCTCGTTAGGAGAATCATTCTGTGGAGGGAGTAGATGTGTAATATAATGGATGTGCAGTAATTGACAGATTTGGTGTTGATTGTTCATTGCTCGGTTCGATGCACAAATATGAGTTCGTTGAAATGAGATCATTCATGGCATCATACAGGTTTTATTTCGATGCTCACCACATTTCAAGCAAAAATTCATTTAGGTCATTATTTGGACCAACGCCGTCTAAAGCAGGGATTGTATCGTCATCCTTGGGACGATATCTCGTACATTATGCCTGAGCGCGATCTGGTGAGTGTAGTTTTTTATCCTCGTGGATAACTAAATTTTTATTTAGCTACTGATATTTGTAGTCTTTTCTAGTTAATAATATTCATGCCTCAATTTTCTCTTTTCAGTGAGTATCATTCCTGCTGTCAGCACTCCATTCTCCGGTGTATCTCACTCTAGTAATTTATTGTTTTCTCTTTTTTTTCGTTTTTTTTTAAGTGTACTCATCGTGTGGTAATTATAAGATTTTATACGTGTACATAATAAGATAGAGGAAGTTTATGTACGTTCTGTGTTTTATTAGATGATCGCTGTTTTGTTATCGTGCTACTCTCGATGTTGTGCGTTTTTAAGTGCATTTCAGGGCTAACCAAATAGCTCTTCTATAAAGAATCGTATTTGACTTTTTGATTTGTTTTTTTAGCATTACTGTGCTGGAACTTTAAACCTTACTTCTTCGGAAAACGAGTCGGTACCACCGAGAAGATGCTTGTTATTAATTCGCTTTTGAAAATCACGGACAAAATAGTGAATTGCTTGGACGTTGAACTAACTTGTCAGTTTTGGGAAAAAACGATACCATTGCTAGACTTTACGCCAACATGCAACAGCGTTCATCTCAAGGTCATACCAGAATCCGAATCGCCCTAATCTGATTATTAAAAGTTCATGAAGAAGAGATCAGGGCCATTTCCTCATCAAACTACTCGAGGACCGTGTTAGGAAATGCGAAATGCGTTTGAAGAGGCTTTGGGTGATAAATATCCCATCGCAGACGGCTACTTCAATCCACCATCTTCCCCTTGTAAAGCCAGCAAAAGCCAATTGGAATAGTTGACCGTATTCCCCTGCTTCAGTCAGAATGCGACATGCTTAGGGACTGAAGTTTGCATAGTGAAACAGACAATCGTCCTCCGAGAGAATCGGATAAGTGCAGGTGAATCATCGACAAGGTTATCAGAAAAGTACCAACGTACTTCACGTCCACGTTCAATCCCTGTTATGTTTCTGTATTACAAGGTCACGTGGTGGACAATTGTCTAGATTGGACCGTTTTTCCATCGCGATATCCAAAGGTTGTTCAGATAAGTCAACGAACAAGCTCTATTGAAGCTCCGGAAAACTCGTCCCCTCCACGTTTCCCATTTAAAGCAACAATCCAGGAACGAATTCGCGGGTAAGGACCACCTATAATGACGTTGCAGGTGAGAAGTTGGTCAATGGAGATAGAAAAGTAGAAAAAACGTCGGGCAGGGGCTTAGACAGGGACTCCCCCGGCCGTTTAGGGAGATGTGTGTTGGACGAGTTGTCCGAACCTGCCCGTAGTACATGCGCTCCAGTTGACTGCTGGCAAATAGCCATGCATGCTTGCAAATACATAACTATTTGCCAGCAATCGAAATTGAAGCGCTTCAATTGGGTTCTTATGGAATCGACCTCATACAGCGCGGCGGTCCCGCAACGACCGCTAGTCGAGCAAGCGCTCTGCACAGCGTATGTTGGGCGATCCGCCTCTTTATGGGTGATCCGCCCCCTCCAAGAGGACTTCGACCCCTTCCAGCGCATTTTAGAGGTAGGTTTTGAAATTAAAGACATTTCCTATAAACTTTAGTTGGGCTGGGGCATGTTTTGACCGCCTAATGACCAAGTAGTTGAAACCCTGCCTGGACTGTTGCTTTAAAGCTTATTAAGCTCCGGAAAACTCGTCCACCCTCCAGTTCCCATTTAAGGAAAAATGGCGCCATACTCAAGTACAGGGTGGGCAAAAATTACGGTAACAAGATAAAGTGTTCATGGAAAAGCAATGCGGCCAGGAAGACACACGTGGACACCAACAATGTATTCATAGGAAGTTACCAAACAGAATACAACATCACTTCTTGGACTGGCCGCTGTCTGCGTTTATACCTGAGTGAAGTCATCTCGGGAACGCATCGTGCCTGTTGTGTAGGTAGGTGACATCGAGCTTTCCCTAGGATCTTCTTTAATTCATCGATGCTTTAGTGATACTTGTAGCAGCCCATCGTCTTCAGTAGACTCCACGGAAAATAACCCACTTGCTTTAAAATGGGAGAATAAGGTTGGCCACTCGTTTAATGTCATGAATTCGGAAAATTCTGCAAAACCAATGTTGCACAATATTTGCTTTGTGTACAGGCGGTCTATCTTGCTGGTGTGTCCAGTGATTTCTCTCCGGGGTCTCTTCAACCAGATGCATTTATTAGGTTCGAAGGAAATCGAGATGTTTTGGTTAGCGCTCTTGTTACCGTAATTTTTGCCCACCCTGTACTATTCTTTTTCTCATTACTCAAATCGCACAGGAAGCATACCGTCTTTGAAATATATAGATTTTATTCACGTGATCACACACTGACTTCAATCTACTATTTCGGCTATAACTTTATGGGCCGAGATTGAGTATTGGCCAGGTACGGTGCAGAGGGAAGGGAGAGCAAAGAAGACTTCGCCTACGTCTCACACCGGCGATTTTTTCGTCGCATAGGTTACCAACGGTGAGGGAATCTTACAGCAAAATATTTTTCTAAAATGTCACTCTGAATGTAGGTAAGTCCTCTACTGTCCTAAAACCTTGGATTTTGACGTCATCTGCCATCATCTTTAGCTCAATGGGACCTACCGTAATTGCTTCAGAGTGGAGCTGCTGCATTATTTCTTGAATCGATTCACTGCTATCTACTTTACTAGAGGAGGTAGCTCTAAATATGCAAGATAAGTCTCGTGGTGATTTCTAGAAGACTTTGTAATAGTCCAGATCCGTCGATGTCACAACGTTTCAGAAAAGCCAAGTGCGCGGCTCACCCGAAAAAGTACTGATAACTGCGAATAGGAAAATGCTTTCTGCATCAAGATATCCGGACCGGGTGTATGTCAACAGAATCGTCCGGATCCCACGCTACTGATCGTGGCTGCGACGTCGCAACTGCAGTGGACGAGTTTCTGTGAGCGTCATTTGAATTTGAATGTTACAGGGACTCCAAGCAGGCCCATCCCTTGATATTCAACTTCAATCAATTGCTCGAACCGTTAAATGGAAAACGCAAGGGGCCACACGCGGCGCTCCGACGACCA